TTCAGAGCTGTGCTTAACACCTATTTGTGTTCATCACTGCTTTCAACAACTTCATATCATAACCATCCCTTTCAGTTTCAGATGGTTGGTGCTTGTAATGGACCCTCTGCTCAACGAATCTACATTGCCTTGCATTCTATCACAGACTTTTCCTTTTTGATCTATTTCTGCTTCCTTTTCCCAGCATTGATACTTACTGTCACCCAACCATAAACTTTGACCTCCTTTATTCTAATCATAATGCTGCCCTTCAGTGATCTACATCCAACACAACAGTGTTATTTTTCACAATGTCCAGCAACATTCACAGCCTATCAGTCACTGAAACAGACCATGTTCACATGCAGCAAGACTTGGAGAACATCCAAGCTTGGCTTTAAAGTGGCAAATATCTTTCACATCACACAAGTGCCAGGCAATGATCATTCCAAATTGCAGACCTGATAAAGAAAATTTTCCAATAACCTTTTTTGGCATGGAATTCTGATCTTAATAAATTCATAAAGTAGTCCATTAGAGGAAGCAGCTCATGCAAAACTATATATCGTTTATTAAACCAGCCAGTGAATGTACAACTGATTGAATAGTAAGGGCAGTGCATTGCCAAATGCAGAACAAGAGGATTACTTCAAATACTATTAATAACCATGACAAGGACATTATATGCAGTAGTACATAATCCACAATTAATTAAATAAAAATAAAATACAGTGAATGCCGGAAATTTGAAACAAACACAGGAATGCCAGAGGAACTCAGCAAGTCTGGCCCCATATGTGGACAGTGAGAGAGAATTAACCTGAAGAACTGAAGAATCTGAAGAAAAGTCATACTGGACTCAACAAATTAATTCCATTTCTCTTTCCACAGATGATGCCAAACCTGCTGAGTTCCTCAAACGTTTTATGTGTTTGTTCCACGTATTTAATTGCTTGGTAATGACTGATCAGGACTGCCAACAGCAATGAGGAACAGATAGTAAATGCTTTGGAAATCATAAATTAACCATGTCAGCTGAAGCTCGAGTGGAATAATCCAGAACATGGTTTGACTTTCTGTGAGATTCAAGCACTGCTGTTTATTCAGCAGACTCCTTTCAATCAACCAGTGATACAATAAACATTTCCAATTCATACCTGAATGAAAATCTCGAGTGAGAGAATTAAATTGCACTTTCACAGTCTCAAACACCAGCTAATGATCAAACTAGATGATATAATCTTTCTATTCCATCACTTCATATTGCAAAATATCTTGAAGAAAATGTTGCAATCAAATCCAGCAAACTGATCCAAAGACAGGAACATCAGTGCAAATGATTTTGTGGAAAGTGGAATCACACAGTCTTACTTACAGCATTGATGTAACTGAAGGGCATTATGATATTTACTGTCAGAGTATGAGACCTTGTAATTACAGATTTTCAATCCACTTGGTGAGGTAAATTTGGCACCAAGTGCAAAAAATGATAAGGATGAATGGAGATAGTAGGAACTGCAGATGCTGGAGAATCTGAGATAACAAGGTGTAGAGCTGGATGAACACAGCAGCCAAGCCTTCCTGCTCCTATGATGCTGCTTGGCCTGCTGTGTTCATCCAGCTGTACACCTTGTTATCTAAGGATGAATGGAAACAGGTTATGTAATGATCAAATAATGGAACAAGGTGACTGATATTGCAATGATATTTTGTTTTATTCTATCATGGAATGTGGGTGTCGCTATTACTCACCCCTGGTTGCCCTTAAATTTTGTGGCTTGCTAGGGAATTTCAGAGTGCAGTTAGGATTTAACTACATTGCTGTGGGTCAGGAGTTACATATAGGTCATACTGGCGAAGGATGGTCTGTTGTAATGTGAAGCAAATATTCTAATTTCTTTGTGATCCTCCAACTTTATAGATTCTTCAACTCTGGAGTGGCAGTATGCTTAGATAGCGGATGTTTGAACATTAACAAGAGTAGTACTGGGAATTGGTTCCAGCAAGTCTGAGAGAACACAATGGTCATATTGAGGGAGAGGCTGGAGATTTTTGAACTGTTTTGAACTGGGGCTTTCTGAGAAAAGGATTTTGGCTGATGATGCTACTGCTTGAAGGTTTGAAAGCTTGCAGCCTAACCTCCCATTATCAGCTATTGGAAGTTCTTCAGAATCAACTGCAAAAGATTGCATTGTTTAATATCAAAAAATTAATCTAGAGACAATCCTATGTACCTGTGAAGCAGTACATCATGGAAGCTACTTAAGTTAACTGGATAGTTTTGTTATTTATCTATTTTTAATTTTATCCCTGTTTGCTTTTTGTGTGAATGGGGCTGAAAACAAAGGTTATTGCTTTTGAATCCTAGACATAAATTAGATTACTGTGTTGTTTAGCTTTGCTCTGCGTAAGTTACTGTATTATTAGTAAATTGTTATATCTTTTGTTTAAGCTATAAACATGGTGTCTAGTATCACTTATTCACAAAGTCTGGGACTAGTTATTCAAATGTCTGGTTAGGAACCATTTGGTTTCATTTTGTTGGGTCTTTGAAAGTTTTAATTCTACTGCGTTGTGAATGTAGAGGTAAGGACACTGATTTTCCTTTTGCTGTCTGCCTCTGTGTTGTGGCACAACAAAAGTGATGTTCACTACTAACAGGATACTGCAGTCAAGTCAAGAAGCATTCTGCCTGTCTCACCACTGACCAATGTTGGATATGAATTTCACTGTTGGTGTGATGACTCCTACTCAAAGATTGGTTGATCATAAGGAATAGATCATCATGGACAAGGTACTAACCATACCTGAACACCCTTGCTTGAAAAACTCTAAACAGTATCCACCATTAGATGTGATGCTGTAATTATGTGCAGATGTAAAGAATAGATATATACACTGTGCCTGTTTGAACTGAACAAAACAGGTGATAGCCATTTCCTGGATCTTTCCTCAGTTAAGTTTCTTGGCCAATCATAGTCAACTTGACTGGCTTATATTTAAACAAAGCCTGGCAGTTAACTGTCAGGCATCATTCAGCTGGTGCATTCTCCATGACAATGCCACTACTAATCAGAGTCAACTTGCCAACCAATCAGCATGCATTTCTTGTACAGTGTAAAAAATGTTGTTACTCTTTATATTGGTATTTCTTTTGAATTGTCCTGATGTAATCAAGATGAAGGGCTTTGACAAAATGTGAATTTTCTTTTTCAACAATATTCGAGGATATTAAATCATTGGCAGCAATTCAGAGAAAGTTTCCTAGACTAATACCTGGAATGGGCGAATATCTCATGAGGAAAGGTGGACATGCTAGACATATAATCCAGGCTATGTTGCCCATATGTTTCATTGAACCTATGTGTAGATTGAAATCACCAAGGATTACTACCGTATCTTTCTCAAAAGCCGCCATTATTTCTTCCAGTATACCCCACATGGTTACCATTAGGGACCAATAAACTACTACCACAAGTATCCTCTTCCCTTTACTATTTCACATCCCTTTCCCAAATCACACTATACTTCAATCTCCAGAACCAACTGCAAGATCCTCTCCAAGCCACTCGCCATTCTGACTTGGAACTATATCACCATTCCTTCAGTGTCATTAGGACAAAATCCTGAAAATCTCTCCCTAAGGGCATTATGGGTCTACCTACAGCACATGGACTGCAGCGGTTCAGGAAGACAGCTCAACACTATCTTCTCAAAGCTGGGTGATAAATGCTGGCTGAGCCGGCAACTTCCAAGATCCCGTGAGAGAATTGGAAAAATACGAAAATGCAGTGCTTCCAGTTCTGAGGCTAGAATGAGTGAGGGGGGCAGAGAAGTTGAGAGAGCCCTTCTCACATCGGTGTTCTCAGTGAAAAGATTAAGAGAGGGCATTAGGCCACAGGAAGGGTTCCAGGAAGAGGGAGGAATTTGGAGACCAATGAAAGTGTCTGCTGACCAGGGTGAAGATTCCAGGTCAAAGAAGTGAGTGCAGAGGCAAAGGCAATCGAAGAAGAGCTGAATGCCATGCCTAATAAGAAATTAATGAAGGTAATGGAGTACGCATAGAAAGCTGAGTCCTATTGCTATCCATGAGTTGTTGGAGGTTGTAATCCCTAACACCCGTTTTGTGAAAGGGTTAGGTGAAGTGGATGGAATAGAACTGGAGCAAGACAGTTTCGAGGTAGTAAAGTAAAATACTTTGGACACTACAAATCTGAAATAAAGACAGAAAATGCTGGAAGTATTCAGAAGCCCAGGCAACAACTGTGAAGCGAAAAGCAGAATTAACATTTCAGGTCAGTGATCTTTAACAAGCACTGGCAAAAGTTGGCAGTATAATAGTTTTGAGTAAGTGCAGGGTGAAGGGTGAGGAAAAACTGTCAGGTTTGCTGATAGAGTAGAAGAGAGAGAGAGAGAGAGATTAAATGGCAAGTGGATGGTGCTGGGGCAAAAAGGGTGGAAATTATAACTAAAGGAATAAAAGATGTCCCTGGAGGAGGTGTGAATGACAGAATTGTGAGTAGGTACCAAAATGTTTTATTCCATAAGCTTACAGCGAATCTGTCCCTTTGCATGTTCTGATGGCCTATGACCTGGGGCATACTCAGAAAATTATGTGGTGCTCAGTGAATTGATATGTCTGTACTTGGTGTTGTTCCCAATGGTTTGTCTCAGGTGGACAAGGAATACTAAATGAAAATGAAATGACAAGTAAGAGTAATGGCAAGTAATTCATGGCATAATGCACTACTGTGGTACTGTGGACTACATTTGGTTTCTGAGTTGTTAAGGAATATAAAGTGTGTATAAACTAATTGTTATCCCCTGAGCTACCACTTCTAAAAATACACCAGCAGTCTGCAGCATCCAGAGATAACAACAGCTAATCCACAAAAGGTTATCATTGCCTTTGATTGAGTCACTGTATATAACCAGCTAAGCAGTAGAAAGCTGTTCCTGAGGGACTGACTACACTGTCTAAAACTGTGACCAAGGCAGTTGTCAGCACACGTCCTCTTGCAATGGAACATTACAGGGCCGCCATGGTGCTGGGGGGAGTCGGAGATGCTCTGGGCTATAGGAACTCCAAGTGGGAGAACTGCCCTTCAGGTGTGGTGATTCTAGATGAACTGAAAGGTCTGGGTGGATTGGAAAGCCTTACCTTAACAGAGGACAACTGGCCAGTCAGTGATGATACAGTTATGCACATAGTAACAGCAGAGGCACTCATATCAGGTAAGAATTTAGTAAGTGTTTTACATTTTATTACAGTGCAGCCCTGCAGGAGTACTGCAGTGTTAGAAATGCAGCCCTGAAGGAGTGCTGGATTATTGGAAATGCAGCCCTGAAGGAGTGCTGCACTTTTGGAAGTGCAGTGTTTGGTTGAGGTGATGTCTGCACGGATAGATGTAAAAGGTGCCATATTCCTGTACAGAGAGCAGAAGAATTCTGTGTCATGCCCAGCATTTTGACCAATATTTATCAGACACCCAGCATCACTAAATCAGGGGATCTGGCTGTTATTGGTTTGCAGTTAGTGGGAGCTAGCTGTGTGCAAATTAGCTGCTGCTGTGTTATCTACATTATTACACTTGCAAGTTGCTTCATTACCTGCAAAAAGCTTTTAGCTGCCTTGGTAGTTTGTGATATTGCTATATAAATGCAATTTCTGTTTGCTGACAACCCACCTACTGATAGAATGACAGAATGCCAGCTAAACCAGCCTGATCAGGCAGCAGCCAGGAAGCTGTGGTTGATTCAAATCCCTGGAGGTCCCTAACCACACTCCTCCTACAGCAGCCCCCTGAACCACAGCAGGCTTCCTCCTTGCACGCTAAAACTACTTGGGGAAACAACGCATAGGAGTGGTACTGTAACGAAAGGGTCACATAAAGATTTTTTTTGTGAACACCCGTGTGAGATTTGTAGTGTTATGACCCACAGGGTAGCACACTGTAAATTGAGTCCCGCTAGTCCCAGAATCATATCAAATGTTAATTTATTTTTCAAGTAAGCACAGTATCCCAATTTATCTGACTTTCAGACTAAGATTGATATAAAGCACGGACCAGGCTTCTGTACTAAACAAGAATTTTTTATTTATTATAAGTAATTAGATTATAGTTATAGGTAAACAGATAGAAACCATTGACATGTAACATTATTAACTCAAACTATAACCCACATAAGATCCCTCTCACACACACACACACACACACACACACACACACACACACACACACACATTAGAGGTAGAAAGAACTGGAAAGTCAGTTAAAGTCAGTATAGTGATCTTTGCTTCCCTATTCCAAGTTGAGATGATCTTTCTTCAGCCAACCAGGCTCTTGATAGTCACTTGTCTTTTTCTGGAAGCTTCCATTTTTCTTTTTAAGAAGTACAGAGCAACTGATTCAGTTGGAAAATGTCTGTGATTTATCAATTCAACAGGCACAGCTCACAGCAACTGCTGTAAGCAAGGTCACTGGTTTTCCTCAAGATTAAACTGGATCTTTCTTTTACTGCAGAGAACAGGCATCTTCTACTGGGGGGAAACAACAGCCCACACCCCTGTGTCGTTCTCTCTCCCTGTGTCTGTAATTTGTTTTCAGTTTCAATTTGTTCAGTTCGATGAGAACCAATCAACTTCACTTCTAAACAACACCTCTGCTCCTGATCATCTGCACATTGCAGAAACCCATACCCACAAATAACACAGTTCACAATAGATATCAAATTCATTGTTATGGAATTAGGCAACCATCCTGGTAAATCTGTTTTTTTTTAAAGCAGTTCTTTTGCCTTGCAATCTACACTTTTTAAAGACACAAAAATAAAAAGACATGACTCTCATGTTAGATCCTGGCATTTGTGTAAGCAATGCAAAGTGAAATACTAATTTGTATTTGGAATGTTTCTGAGCCTGCAGTGGTGGGTGTCATATATATCAGTGATTATCTGTAGCCAGTAGTACTATTGCAAGACAGAATGGACAATTTTGTATCGGAGGATTGCTCAGGGCACAGGACTATTTTAGCTAAATTCCTGTTCACTTAACTTCTACCAAAGAGGTTGGGCTTCAGAGTAGCCCCTGAATGGTATGCTCTTTAGCGGATGATAGGAGCTCCTCATACTGCAGTGGTCCATTATCCCCATTGTAGAGGAATATTATGCAGAATGCAGCCGTTGACCATTAGTTGACCCACTCTCTCTGGACTGTATTGCAGAAGACCCCCAGACTTCACAGGGAAGAACAACTATTTCTGGGGACTCTCCGACTCAGCACCAGTTCTTGTGACTACTTGCTTTTGGTTGTATGGGTGTTCAGCAGAGGCACATTTAGTTTCATCAATGTACCATGGACTGGGATAAAGGGGAGGATGCTGGTCCCTAAGGCACCTACTTCTGGCTCATTGTATGGGGTCAAATGTTGAAGGGAAGGTAAAAATGCTGGCAGAGTAAGAAGGCACTAGGACAGCCACCAGGAAAGTGAGCAGAGACTTGCTCAATGCACTGATAGGGATCAGGGGTTAAGTATGAAGAGAATGGAAACCCAAAGGCTCATGGGGACTACTGGCTGACTGGCTACAGAGCTGATAACAATGCGAGTACACTTATGTGAGTTGGACCTCATGGCAAAGCAACAAGCTCCAGAGTTCTGCCTTGCTCCTCCTGGCTATTCATGAGGGACTTCATCAATTGGATACCTTCACCAAACAGGGCATGTTTGATGCAGGCATGGTCTGCACGTTGAATATTATGATTAACAGTCTTTATTTCAGCCTGAAAGAATCACAATGAAAAGTAGTGACTGCTGTTGCTTTGACTGTAAAGAACAAGGCTTTGGAGCTGAGGCAACAGCTTGCAGGTCTCGTGTGAGATGCGCAACAGAATGACAGTATACAGTTCCTGCAGTATACTTTCACAGCAAATACACAGTACCTGCAGAATCCTCTCAGGAGATGCAAAAGGTACGTCCACACTTCTCTCAGTTTTCAAGCAGTACTTGCAGAATACACACAATATGGACGATTACATCTACACTACATAGTCAATACCTGTAGCATTCTCAGTCAATATACATACATTATGGGCAGAATATTCCCAACTTATTCACCACAGTTCCTCCAGTTTGTGAAAACTTCCATAGTATTCCCACAACATCTGCAGGATACTCCCACAGTATCCATGTGCACATAGAGTATTTGCAGTGTAATCCCACAGTATACACACACAGTGCACAGTGTACTTGCAAATTAACCTGCAAAATATGATCACAGTACACAATCACACAGAACCTACAAACTACACCACAGTACACCTGCAGAAAATGTCCACAGTAAATGTATCATCTTCGGGGTATTCCCACAGTAAAACACACAGCTTCAAAACCGTCCTCACACTGTAGCCAAACAGTAATTTCACCCCAACAATAGACAGCCCTCACAGTATCCATGCATTGTTACATGGAAAATCCTGTTCTTTCTCCACTTCTTCTGCAGGTGAATTCTTATGGACTAACATTGTCATGAAATCTTTGAATGTAAGAGCATGGATGAGGTGCAAAAGTAAGACCAAGGCTGATCTTTGATCTCCACTCTAATTTCCTGCCTTTTCAATGTGTCCCTTACTTTCCTTACAGCCCAAAAAGTATATCGCCCTCAGCCTTGAATATGCATAACATCTTGAGCTCTCTTACAATTAAAAGATTCCTTCATGATATCTTCATGTCTTATGAGTGGCTATTCATACTGAACGACTATTTAAACAAAAGTGAATTGGAGGAAAAGTTAATTGGAGGAAAATATTGATGATCAAATTGATTAGAAAATGTTCCTGAGTTTTGCATATTTCTGGAAGTGTTTTATACAAATCACCCTGTTATTTTTTGTTTGGATCATCATTGGGTAGTTCTTACTGTAAGAGCCAGGGATAGTTGGCATTCCAATGGAATGTGAGGTATTCTGTGTATTTTTGTTCACTCATTGACCTCCATCTGAATCCTGTTCTAGAGATCACTGACATTATTCAGATATAGTTCTGGGTACCCAGAATAGCATGTAGCAGATAGAGCTCAATGGTGATGAGTGTGAAAACTACTGAAACACAATACAACTGCCTTGGTGTATCTCTCATTCAGCATGAGGCTGATTGACTGTCACTTTTTACTGTCTTTAATCTTACAAGTTGGCTGTCTGTGACGCAGCCAATTCAGGAGATGTGAAGAATGTAGGAATAAGTGGCCCAAATTATCCTGGAAGACGTTCTTAATTTTTAGGGGTACTGGAGCCTTAGTTATGGCTTACATTGTAGCCTTATCAAAATCAATAAGTCCTGTATTCACATGCGCACACACATACACACTGCAGAAATCAAACAGTCAACAATTGTCAACGTTTAACTTTGTCATGCTGTTTGCTTGAAAACAACTCCCGAAGTTCATTTCTCTTTATTCTTCTCACTACTAATTTATATTTCAAATTGAACCTTTGAGTCCTGTGCATTGCTTTGAAATGCTTCAGCGTATTTTTAACTCATCCTCCTGCTGTTCGTTTTGTTTATTCACTCGTGGGATCTGGGCATCCAGCAAGTATTGCCCATCCCTAGTTACCCTGGAGGAAGGCGTGGTGAGCTGCCTTCCTGAATCATTGTAGCCTATGTACTGTCTGTCCATTTTTATCCCTGTTCTCCCTTCTAGTGGTTGATACAACTGAGTGTAAAAGGTTAATGTTAGTGATGAAAATAGACAATCTACATTATCAGTAAGAGTATTTGGCATTCGGAATACATTGACTGACAGTGTGGCAAAGGCAGGTTTAATCAAAGCATTCAAGAGGGAATTGGATTATTATCCAAAAGCAAAGCATTTGCAAGGTCTCAGGGAGAAGGTGATGGAGTATCGCCAGATAAAGTGGTCTTTTGACAACACAGTGGACTGAATGGCTTCCTTCAGCACTGCAACAGTTTTGTGACTGTGTGAAATAAATATAAGTTGCTTGCATTGATGTGGCACCCATAATGTGGTAGGATGCCCTAAGATGCTTCACAGGAGCGATTACCAGATAAATGTTGACATCGAAACACCGGATGCAGTATTAGGGGAGGTGACCAAACGCCTGGTCAAAGAACAGAAAGCAAGTACTGCCGATGCTGGAGTCAGAGTCACAGTGTGGAGCTGGAGGAACACAGCAGGCCAGGCAGCATCAGAGGAGCAGAAAAGTTGACGTAACAAGGTGTAGAGCTGGATGAACACAGCAGGCCAAGCAGCATTAGAGGAGCGGGGAGGGGGAAGGGAGCTGGGAAATAAATAGAAGGAGGGGTGGCGCTGGGGGAAGGTAGGTGGGATGGTGATAGGTGGATGCAGGTAGGGGCAGTGGGGATCAGTCAGTGGGGTGGTTAGGGAGGATAGGTGGGAGGGAAGATGGACAGGTTGTTTCAGGCCAAGGAGGTGGGGATGAGAAGGAGGGTTGGACAAGAGATGAGGCCGAGGGTGGGGAGATTTTAAAACTGGTGAATTCCATGTTTAGGCTATCGGGCTGTGGGCTCCCATGGCAGAATATGAAGTGTTGCTCCTCCAGTTTGCGGGTGGCATCATTGTAACACTGGAGGAGGCCCAGGATGGACATGTCACCCAGGGAGTGGGAGGGGGAGTTTAAAAAGGTTAAAATTAAAAATCTGAAATGTCAACTTTTCTGCTTCTCTGATGCTGCCTGACCTGCCATGTTCCTCCAACTCCACACTGTATTGACCTGGTCAAAGAAACAGATTCTAAGAAGGAAATTGAGGGAGAATCATAGAGTCATAGAGATATACAGTACGGAAACAGACACTTTGGTCCAACTCATCCATGCCGATCAGATATCTTAAATTAATCTAGTCCTATTTGCCCCACATCCCTCTGAACCTTTTGTATTCATATACCCATCCAGACCCCTTTTAAATGTTGTAATTGTACCAGATTCCATCATTTCCTCTGGCAGCTCATTCCATATATGCACCAGCCTCTGTGTGAAAACGTTGCCCCTTAGTTCCCTTTTAATTATTTCCCCTCTCACCTTAAACCTGTGCCCTCTAGTTTTGGACTCCCCTAACGTGGGGAAAGACCTCGACTATTCACCCTTTTCCATGATTTTATAAACTTCTATACGGTCACCCTTCAGCCTCTGACACTCCAGGGAAAATAGCCCTAGCCTATTCATCTCTTCCTATAGCTCAAACCCTCTAACCCTGGCAACAACCTTGTAAATCTTCTCTGAACACTTTCAAGTTTAGCAACATCTTTCTTATAACAGTGAAACCAGAATTGCATGCAGTATTCCAAAAGTGGCCTAACCAATGTCCTGTACAGCCGCAACATGACCTCCCAACTCCTATACTCAAAGGACTGACCAATAAAAGCAAGCATGACAAACGTCTTCTTCACTGTCCTATCTACCTTGACTCCACTTTCAAGGAATTATGAACCTGCGCTCCAAGGTCTCTTTGTTCAGCAACACTCTAGAGGACTTTACCATTAAGTGTATCAGTCCTGCCTTGATTTGCCTATCCAAAATGCAGCACCTCATATTTATCTAGACATTTATCTGGTCCCTCGAGAATCTTTATTGTGAAATGTTGAGAAGTGAGATGGACAGGTGGAGAGATATATGGAGAGAGTTTCAGAGGTTAAGCGCTAAATGGCTGAAAGTACAGTCTCCAGTAGTGGGGCATTTAAATCAGGAATGGCCAGAGGAATGCAGAGATCTGTATTGTGAAGCTCAAAGATGGATAGCAAGGGCACGGAAGGATCCAAACATGCTTTTTTAAAAGAATATTCAGAAACTACCTTTGTGTTCTTGAACTTCTAGATTTCTGGTCCCTTGAGGACCTTTATCGTGAGATGGTGAAGGTCTACGTTGAGATTGTTGAGAAAATCAATAAACGACGACCAGACCCAGCGACCATCGAAGGCTGCACCCAACTCAAACCTGATAACTATGTGCTGGGATGGCACACGCCTTTCAATGTGAAAGGTATGTGGAACTCGCTGCAAGTGTCACCTGCTGTTCTCTTAGCAAACAGGAGCATCTCAGCATTGGATCACAATACTGAAGTTCTTCCCTCACCACTTCTGTTTTTATGAAGGGTCGGGATTTGGTGCAGCCACTAAGGCCATGTGCATTGGGATGAGGTACTGCCAGCCTGACAAACTGGACAATCTTGTGCAAGTGAGCATCGAATCAGGACGAATGACACACAACCACCCTACAGGTAATCTAAGAACACAATAATGTACAAAATTGAAGGCCAATTGACTTTTTAAACTTTTTCTACCACTCACTAAGATCAAAACTGATCCTTTACATGAACCCCCCACCCATCCTGTCTTCATATTCCTTCAGTTCCTCAGCAGGAATCAATTTATCCCTTGAATATACTCGATGATTGAAAACCCCAACATCTGAGATGCAGATATTTAAAGAATCACTTCCAATTGAGAGAAGATATATTTCCTCAATCTTCTTCTTGCCCCTTGCATTTCTATAATTCTAACACTCTGCTGTATGACTTCAATTACTCCAAGTAGAGCTAATCTCTCAGCATTCTACATTTCCATCTTCTGTCTGCAGGTATTTGAAACTATTCACTTTCGTCAAGTCTTCAACCATAATCTTTACACTGTCACTCTGATCCTCAAATTGACAGTCCATAATCTGTGTCTCCAATCCACTGATTTTCTTACTAGTCTCTGCAGAGGTTTTCTCCAATTCTCCAGACACTCAATCATATTCGTGTCATCCCCTCTACGTGGTTCAATGTCATCTGCAGTTGTCATTGATCCCAGCACTTCTCATCTCACTTCCTCAGTTAGAATATCCAAATGATCAAGATGGAATAGGACCTCAGTGCCAGTCTTTGGTGTAATCCAATTCTGTCTTTGAACCTTACATTATTCTCCAGTTTGGTACTCCTTGCACATGACCTATAATAATCTTATGTACCTCTCGAAGGAGATTTTCACAAATTCTAGTGCATCTCCAGACTTCTTCCCTAGGCACCCAGTCATAAGCCTTCTCTAGATCAATGAATACAATCTTGATCTTCCCAATATTTCTCCATCACTTGACTCAAAGCTTAACTTGTGTGAGTCATCTCAGCTTACCTTCAGGTCTGATTAAGAGAGGGTCTGTCAAAAGTGCATGATCAATAAGCTTTGCGTGATCAAGAAAGAGAGATCAAACTTGTAGTGAGTCAGTGTATATTTCTGGGATTTTGGAGCAGTGTGGGAATTTGGTGCAGAAGGGAAGAAATACTTTTTTCCTTGCTTTTTGGTTCATAGTTTGTAAGGTCTTTTTTATAGGATATATTGAGGCCCAGGATTGAGGGCCCAGTATAAGAGCAAGAGTGACACCATAGGAAAACCGTAAGTTCATTAGTTGGTAATAGCTGCTAATTTGACAAATCTATTATTGGTTACTTTCAGATCAAATGTAAATAGGAGAACTATTTTACAGATTGTAATGGAAAATTAGAAAATGAAAAGGTAAAGGAGGAGGTAGGAGTACGGATTAGTAATGGGGCTGATTGTTACCAGAAAACAAAAGGATGGGACAAAATGTCATATTGTACCAAGGAACCATAATAACATAGGAAAATTCAATAATAGAACAAACTTAAAGACTTTGTGTCTTAATGCATGAATAGGTAGATGGACTAATGGCATAATTCAAGGTAAATGAATATGATCAATATGAAGTTTGTGGATGATACAAAATTAGGAGGCAGCATTGATAGCGAAAAAGGTTATGAAAAATTAGAGGGATTTTGATCAGATGGGGAATTGGGCTGAGGATTGGCAAATGCAATTCAATGCAGATAAGTGTGAGGTGTTGCACTTTGGAAAGTCAAACCAAGGTAGGACTTATACAATAAATGGTAAGGTCCTGAGGAGTGTTGTGAAACAGACACACCTAGGAATACAGGTACATAGTTCATTGAAAGCGGCGTCACAGGTGACAAGGTGGTGAAGAAGGCATTTAGCATACTGGCCTTCGGTCGAGGCATTGCGTATAGGAGTTGGGACGTTATGTTACAGTTGTATAAGTCATTGGTGAGGCCGCACTTGGAATATTGTGTACAGTTTGGTCATCCTGTTATAGAAAAGACATAGTTAAACTGGACAGTGTGCAAAGAAGATTTACAAGGATGTAGCCAGGACTAGTAGGCCTGAGTTATAGAGAGAGGTTGGCCAGAATAGGACTTTATTCCTTGGAATGTAGGAGAATGAGGGATGACCTTACTGAAGTGTATAAAATCACGAGGGGCATAGATAGTCTTTTTCCCAGGGATGGGGAATTGAAACTAGAGGGCATAGGTTTAAGGTGAGAGGGCAAAGATTTTAGAAGGACCTGAGGGCAACTTCTTCCCACAGAGAATATGAAATGGGCTGCCAGAAAAAGTGGTTGAGGCAGGTACAATAGCAACATTTAAAAAACATTTGGATAGGTACATGGATGGGAAGGGTTTAGAGGGATATGGACCAAATGCAGGCAGTTGAAACTAGCTGAGTGGGCGCTGTAGTCAGCATGGATCAGTTTGGGCCGAAGAGCCTATATCCATGCTGTATTACTTTATGATTGTATCTCGGAACCATTACAGTACAAGGAGATCAAAACTGGGAATTTAATATTTCTCTTTTCAGAGAGGCAGGAGGGAAGGAATAGATGGTAGGGTAGCACTATGAATAAGAGATGAAATGAGGACAGTCGTGAGAGATGATCCAGGCTTGGATGATTTAGAGTCTACTTGTACAGAGGTAAAAAACAGCAAGGGAAAGAAGACATTGGTTGGAGTTATATATAGACCCCCATCAGTAGCCACTCTGTAAGCAAGGCAATTAACAAATAATAGGAACATCTAAAAATAGTAGTGCAATATGGGTGACTTTAATCTTCATGTTGATTAGATTAATCTAATTGGAAAGGGCAGCTACAACAAATTCATAGAGTGCATTAAGGATAGTTTCTGAAAGCAGTATGTCATGGAGTTGACCAGAGAACAGGTAATCCTGGATCTGGTAATGGATAATGAAGCAGATTTAATAAATCACCTCAGAGCAAAAGATCCTCCAGGAAGTGGTGATCATAACATGTTAGAATTTAACATTCAGTTTGAGAGTGAGAAATTTGGGTTGAAAACAACCATGTTTAATTTAAATAAAGGAAATTACAATGAAACAAGGACAAAGTTAGCTAAAGTGAACTAAAGTTAGCTAAAGTGGAGATTCCCCACAATGTGCCCGCCACCATTGGCCATGAGGCCACTATCTGAGAACCCTCAGATGATGTCACATCCGCCACTGCCGGGTTCCCCACTTCCGGGACAGCGAACACCATCGCTGCCGTTGCCACCGACACTGAAGTCGCGACCACCCTCACCGCTCCTGCCGCCGCCTACCCCGCTCCTCCTACCTCTGACGCCACTCCGCCCATCACCGACGCGGACGCAACTCCACCCACCGCCGGCGCAACTCCGCCCACAGCCGACTCCAGCACAACTCTGCCCACAGCCGACGCCAACTCAACTCCGCCCACAGCCGACGCCGACGTTGCTCCGCCCACAGCCTCCACAGCCAGCAGCTCCAGAGGAAACAGCAGCACCCAGCTCTGCCGAGTCTTCACCATCCCCCCAGACCTACCCCTTACTGAGGACGAACGGTCAGTCCTCAGTAAAGGGCTCACCTTTGTCCCCCTCCACCCACAGATCAACGAATACTGCTCACATTTGGATATTGAGCAGTTTTTCCGCTGCCTCCGCCTCCACGCTTACTTCTTCAACCGTGAACCTAACCCTCCCTCTACTGACCCCTTCTCCTGCTTCCAACACACCCCCTCCTCCTGGACACCACCCCAAGGCCTCCTATCCTCCCTCCACCTCTTCATCTCCAACTGCCGTCGAGACATCAATCGCCTCAACCTCTCCACCCCTCTCACCCACTCCAACCTCTCCCCTGCAGAACGTGCAGCCCTCCGCTCCCTCCGCTCCAATCCCAACCTCACCATAAAACCCGCGGACAAGGGAGGTGCAGTTGTAGTATGGCGCACTGACCTCTACATCGCTGAGGCCAGACGCCAACTCTCCGACACCTCCTCCTACCGCCCCCTTGATCATGACCCCACCCCTGAGCACCAAACCATCATCTCCCAAACCATCCACAACCTCATCACCTCAGGTGACCTCCCATCCACGGCCTCCAACCTCATCGTTCCCCAACCTCGCACCGCCCGCTTCTATCTCCTTCCCAAAATCCACAAACCTGAATGCCCTGGTCGACCCATTGTCTCCGCCTGCTCCTGTCCCACCGAACTGATCTCCAACTATCTAGACTCCATTTTCTCCCCCTTGGTCCAGGAACTCCCTACCTATGTCTGTGACACCACCCACGCCCTCCACCTCCTCCAGAACTTCCAATTCCCCGGTCCCCAACATCTCATCTTTACCATGGACGTCCAGTCCCTCTACACCTGCATTCCCCATGCAGATGGCCTTAAGGCCCTCCGCTTCTTCCTGTCCCGCAGGCCCGACCAGTCCCCCTCCACTGATACCCTCATCCGCTTGGCCGAACTCGTCCTCACACTCAACAATTTCTCTTTCAATTCCTCCCACTTCCGACAGACAAAGGGGGTAGCCATGGGTACCCGCATGGGCCCAAGCTATGCCTGCCTCTTTGTAGGTTACGTGGAACAATCCCTCTTCCGTACCTACACCGGCCCTAAACCCCACCTCTTCCTCCGTTACATTGATGACTGTATCGGCGCCGCCTCCTGCTCCCACGAGGAGCTCGAACAGTTCATCCACTTCACCAACACCTTCCACCCCAACCTTAAGTTTACCTGGACCATCTCTAACACCTCTCTTCCCTTCCGGGACCTCTCTGTCTCCATATCGGGCAACCACCTAGGAACCGATATTCATTTCAAGCCCACCGACTCCCACAGCTACCTAGAAT